CCCCCCCCCAAGCTGAATCGATACAGTATTAATCGAAACTAGTTCGGAACTATTTACGGGTTTAAGTATATCGAAACTGTATTAACTCTATTTACTTAGATCCTACTAGTTCGGCGTATATCTACTAGTTCGAGTATACATAGTATCTACTACGTACATACCTTCTTAATTATTATTCAACTACGTAACTTCTACGCGTACACCTCCTACGTACTATATAGGTAATCGTTCTACTACATGTGTACCTCTATCGAGTATCCTGCCGAGCGTTGTATTAACCGTTCTGCTACGCGTACACCTACTCGAGTGTCTCGTCGAGCGCACTATCGAATACACTATTATATAGTAAACGCATATAGTTTCAACTAGGTGTATAAGTAGGCGTATCAATATTGTATTAAACCTCGAAATCGATTCCGAACCGGTTCTAATACGGATTATATCTACTATACTAGCCTTCTATAAGGGCTTAATCTAGGATTAATATAGGATTAGATCTAGTTCGGACCTAGTTTAGTAACTAGGTAGTAATTAGGTCCAAACTAGGTCTAAACTGTATAGTTACGCAACCTCTTACCCCCCCTCCCCCCTCCCCCCCTTAACTAATCTAGTCGATTATAGTATTAATACCGTATTAATCTAGTTTCGAAACCGTTTAGAGGGTCGAATATATCGAAACCGATTCGGATACGATTCGGAATCGATTCGAAACCGTTTCGGAACTGTTTACGGTTCTAAGCGTATTAAGATTATATTCACTCTGTTTACTTAGATCTTAAGTTTCGATTCTATAGGGGGTAGGCATCAATATATCTATTGTAATATATATGCCCTCTATAAAGGATTAATTCTATATCGATCCTATATCGACGCTATATTGACCCTACTCCGATCCTACTCCGATCCTACTTAAGAATTACTATAGGATCACTTATAGGCTAAATAACGTATTTGTAGATCACGAGAGGATCACGAGAGGATCGCTATAGGCTAACTACCAAGTAGCGTATTGAGAATCACTTCTTAACTTAATTTAATTTTTTTCAATTTTTTCAATTTCTTAAAATGTATATTACGTAATATTTATAGGTTGTAGATTTATATATCGAAAATACTACTATAAATACAATATACGGCGTTGTAGCCTAGGGGTTAATAACGTCGCTATCGCTAGAATCGGAAAAAGAAAAATTTTAACGGTAGTCTTGAAATAAAAAAGAAAAAAAGAGTACTCCTAGCGTAATTCGAACACTTTTTCTTTTTTGCTATTATAGTAGCCTAATACGTGATCCGGATCTGATCCGGATCTAAGAAAATTAATAGATTAAGCCTCCGACCTAGGAATCGACCTAGGATTAGACCTAGTTTAGTAACTAGGTCTGAACTAGGTCGGAACCAGGCCTAATCCTAGATCGATCCCGGATTAAGCCTCTATAGAAGGCCAGTATAGAATTCTATATATATATATATATATGCCCGCCTAACAAGGATTAATCTAGTATCGATATAGAATCGATACTACTAGTAGTACTATATTGACCCTTCTCCGATCCTTATCCGATCCGGATCGAGAATTGCTCTAGAATTACTTATAGACTACTAGTAAATAACGTATTATAGATTACGAGA